AAAAAAAAAAAAAAAAAAAAAGAAAATGAAAGAAAAAGAAAAAAAGAAAAGAAGAAAACCCGGGGAAAAAGAAGAAATAGCCAAGAAATGATTACCTGGGGAGTTTAGGTGATTTGCTAGCTCGACTGATTTTGGGAGATTTCCTTGCTGCCCAGTCATCGCTCAGTTCGATGTCGCTGGAGTCCGAGCAGTTGCAGCTGTCAATCACAGTGGAAATCAAGCTGTTTCCATAGATTTCATCTATCAAGACAGGCCCCAGAAAATATAAGTGCTGCTTCAGAAAACTGATATCATTTACAACTATCAGTCATCAGAAGCATAAATCCGATCCACAGGCAGCAGTTGAGATAAAGCTATGCAGAGAAAATTAACTGTTCTTCACCCTGCCTAGTATAAACTCCACATTTCCAATGGTTCAAACTCAAGTGAACATCTTTCAGAGCGGTGAATAGCGTTCAATTCACTTGAGATTGAATTGAGAAAAAGAATTGAGACTGAAGAATATTTTCTGCTAATTAGCAATCTATTCCCCACTGTTCAAAATACAAGAAGTTCCCTTTTGTAGAACAGAAAACAGCATGATATAATTTCAGATGATTAAGCCTAGTTCAAGCTGAAGATCTTTTTTTGCATCAGAAAAAAAATCAGATGCCACCTTCCGTGTTGCTTATACAGATTTTCTTTAACTCCTGAGGATTTAATATCTGAAGTATTTCTAAATCATTTTTTATACAGAGCAACAATTCAATTCTACCTGCTTTTCCATCTGTTTTAGGATCCATGATGACAAACTCTGGCCGCAACTTGCTGATACGACGTCCTTTCAGGATAGGCACCAGTCCCCCAAGGTATTCCAGGTACAGAGTATAACATGGACCACCGACCTCTGGGTCATCTTCTGTCCGCTTCATTGTGCAGTGAAGCCGTTCATTACCAGCTGTTGGGTAGCTGACAAAATCTCTCATATTGTTTGGGTCTGGGATAGGAGGCTTAATTAAATGAAGGAAGGAAAGAGAAAGTTTCCTATAGGTTATTGCTGGGTTTTTTTGTGTGGTGACTTAATCCCAACACAACTAACTTAATTTGAACCCAACTCTAACTTGGCAGGTCAAGACTAGTACAGGTTACTGTGTGGGTTATGCAGGACCCACATGCAAGACAGAGTGGCTGTGTACTATTTTGTTAGGTCAAAAGCAGCTGTACACAGAAAACTAAAACTAGTTACATCAAGAAGGAAGGTTGGACCTGTGGTTAGAGCACTA